AGTCATTATCTAAGAAATTGTAACATAATTCATCCAGTTGCAGAGCGAGAAATCTAAGTTCATACTTGATACACAGTTTAGAAATTTCAGTATATCCAGACCCACTCAATCATAACATGTATAGTTTATTCCACTTGAACCCATCAAGTTATTTCCACCTACACTGCCCCTGCCCCAGACAGAGTCATACACTCCACAAATCTGGAGTCTAATAACCAAGAAAACTTCAATAACCTTTAATAACTCTTAGGGTAAAACCAGCATCCTTAAAACAGCCTACTAAGACCTGGCATAAACTACCTCTCTTACAATATGCATGTAACAAATTATTGTTAATTGCTTACCATTAGTTATGAACAAACATATCTTCATTTCAAGGCCTCAGTTAGCTTGCTGATTAGGAAAGGAGAAAGATACCTATCAAATAATTCTATAATTTGGGGTGTCTGGATGGGTTAGTGGGTTAAGCATCTGACATTGGCTCAAGTTGTGATCTTGCAGTTGGTGAGTTTGAGCCCCGCATCAGGCTCTGTACTGACAGCTCATAGCCTGGAGCCTGCTCTGGATTCAGGGTCTCCCTCTCTCTGCCCCTCCACTGCTCATGCTCTCTCTCACTCTCTCTCTCTCTCAAAAATGAATAAACGTTAAAAAATTTTCAAATAATTCTATAATGAAATGTAAAAATTCAACTGTAGGCAGTATTAAAAAGTCCACAGAGTTTTGTGAACCTGTGATAAAGAGGCTTGATCTAGGCTTATAGGTGAAGGATTTTGAGCAGAAATCTAAAGAAAGTTTAAGAGTTAACTTGAATTTTAAAAAATTAAAATTACTTTTAATTTAGAGTACATCATCCCATTTTTGAAACATGTAGAGGAATTCACTGAGATCCTTTACAAAAATAAAATATACTTGCATAGTTCTTTTATCTTTATAAGATGCATCTTATGACAGATAATATGGGCTTGTCTGATCATTTGATGTGCACTGCGGAAGAATGGACATTCTCCTGTTAGGTGTAGTAGTCTATCAAGTATTGTAAATGACTTACTGACATCCTAATTGTAACTATGGATTTGTTTATTTCTTCTTGCAAATCAGCCAGTTTTTGATTCATATGTTTTAATGGTTTCTTATTAGATGTGCATAAACATTCAAATGATGAGCTGACCACTAATCACCTTTTATATTTCTGGTAGTATTTTTTTGCTCTGAATATACATATATATACTAAAATAAGCACCCCCTACATTCTTTTAATTAGCATTAGCATGGCAAAGTTTTTCCCTCTTTTACGTATCTATTTATCTTTATATTTAGTGCATTTCTTAATGTAATTGTTTTTGCTTTTAGATCCAATCTGATAATCTCTGCCTTTTAAGGCACTTACAGTTAATGTAACTATTCCTATTACTAGGTTTAAAGTCTAACATGTTGCTATTTGTTTTCTATTCCCCTCATCGTTTCTTCTCCTCTTTTCCTTTTTCTGCCTTCCTTTGAATTTGATATTATTTAGATTCAATTTTATCTTGTTTTTGGCCTATTAGCTGTGACTCTACTTTCATATTTTAGAAGTTGCTTATACTTGTTTCCTATTGCTGCACAACAAATCACCACAATTGAGCGTCTGGAAACCATACTCCTGTGTCAGCTCCCAGTTTCTGTAAGTCAGGATTTCAGGCAGTTTCTGTGGGACAGGATTTTTACATTCTTTTCAGGGGCTTATAAGGTTGCGATTAAGATGTTAACCAGGCAGTGCTCTTCTCGGGAGGCTCAATTAGGGAAGAAGCTCCTTCCAAGCTTCTCTATACTGTTGGCAGAATTCGGCCTCTTGGGGTTGTGTGATGGAGGGCTCTATCTTACCTGCTATCCGCTATCTGCTAGAACTCTTCTCCCACCCTAGAGCCCACGTTACCCTCATCGCTGGCCTTGGGACCTGCCTGTTTGCTTCCTCAAGGCCACAGGAGAGCTCTCTCCCCAGTATGCTGCCAAGCAATATACAATGAAAGGGCATCATAGGACTAATGTGATTCGCTTAGTGCAGCCTAATCAGCAGATTGATACCCCATCACCAGTACTACATTCTGATGTGTAGAAACAAGTCACAGGTTTCACCCCCCATTCAAACAGATTATACTTGAGAGTGACTCACTGGTGGCTGCTCCGGGGTGAGTCACACCACTTCTTAAAGAGATCATGGTGTACAGCTTTATCTTAGCACAGTCTACTTTCACCTGATATACAACATTAAGTAAACAACAAAGATGTGTAATTTACTTGTATTTCTTTTGTCCCCACACTTTTTTTGTGCTACATTTTACTTTTGCATATAATTCCCACCCGATTGCTATTTTTATGAATATAGTTTATTATTGTTTTAAAAAGATTTAAGTATTAAAAAAGACACTTTTATTCATGTAATTGCCATTTCTGGCACTGTTCATGTCTTTGTATACATTCAGATTTCAATCTAATGTCATTTCCTTCTAACTAAAAGACTTCTTGCACATTTCTTGTAGCGTGGATCTGCTAATGACCAATTCCTTCAGCTTTTCTATGTCTGAATGTGTCTTTACTTAACCTTTGTTTTTGGAAGGTTATGTTTCCTTTAACGATACACTTATTTACTTAGTTATATTTTTTCTAGCAGGACTTTGAAGATGTTGCTCTAGTGTCATGTTTTTTCCATTGTTTACAATTAGAAAGCTACTGCAACCTTTATTTTTCTTCCTTTGTATATAACATATCCCCATCCCCCAAAGCTGATTTCAAGATTTTCTCCTATCAACGATTTCAAGCTGTGCAATTATGTCTTTGGATAGTTTTTTTTTTTTTTTTTTTAGTTTATTTTGAAAAAGAGAAAGTGCAGGGAGGAGGGGCAGAGAGAGAGAGAGAGAGAGAATCCCAAGCAGGCTCAGCACTGTCAGCACAGAGCATGCTAAGCGGCTCAAACCCAAGAACCTTTGTGACCCTAGCAGACCCTGAGGTCGTGACCCTAGCAGAAATCATGGGTAGATGCTTAACAGATGGTGCCGCCCAGGTGCCCCTTGAATAGCTTTTTATACACAATTGTGTAACCTTCTCCATACTTTAGAAAAAGTGTTCATTGACCCCCTAAAAGAAACCCATGTCGTCCTGCAGTTTATTTCAGTTCATTAGCAATCCTCCCCCCCCACCACCCCACCACCCTGGAAAGCCACTAGTCTACTCTCCGATTCTTTAGATTTTCCTAATCTGGACATTTCATAGAAATGGACTCATAATATATACTCTTTTGTGACTGGTTTCTGTCTCTTAGCACACTGTTTTCAGGGTTCATCCACACTTCAGTATGTATCCCTCATTCTCTTTTATTACTGAAAAATACCCCACTGAGTGGATGTAGATTTTGTTTTCCAATTCACCAGCTGGTGGACATTCTGGTTGTAGAAACAGTCTTTGGCTTTTGTAAATCATGCTTCTGTGGACACATGTGTCTAAGTTTTTGTGAACACAGTTTCATTTCTCTTGGATATATACCTACAAGAAGGTCCATATGGTCACTCTGTGTTTAACATTTTGAGGAACAGCTAAACTGTTTCCCCAGGCAGATGAATCATTAAAAAAGTTTTTTAAAAACGTTTTATTTTATTTTTTAGAGACAGGCACCAGCGGGGGAGGGGCAGAGACAGAGGGAGACAGAGAATCTGAAGCAGGCTCCAGTCTCTGAATTGTCAGTACAGAGTCCCATGCAGGGCTTGAACCTATGAACCATGAGATCCATGACCTAAGCTGGAAGTCCTATGCTTAATGGGCTGAGTCACCCAGGCGCCCCCTAGATGCATCATTTTAAGTTTTTTTAAATGTTTATTTTTTTTGAGAGTGAGTGGGGGAGGGGTAGAGAGAGAGGGAGGCACAGAATCCAAAGAGGTCAGGGTGGGGCTGGAACTCACCAACTGTGAGATCATGACCTGTCCTGAAATCAAGAGTGGGACACTTAACTCCCTGAGCCACCCAGGCGCCACCAGATGCATCAGCAACAAGTGAACATTCCACTTTCTGCACATCGTCACCATTTATCATCTTTTCATTACAACTCTGCTTATTTTTTGAACATAACTGTTTTCAATATCCTCTCCTGTTTGATTCTAACTTCTGTTTCTGTTATGATCAGTGATTTTATTTTTTTTATTACGGGTTTACTTTTCCTCCTGTTTTGCAAACTTGGTAGTTTTTATTTTGATGCCGGACACTGTTAATTGTACGTTACTGGCAGCTGGATATTTTTGTTTCTTTAAGTATTACTGTGCTTTGGCCTGCAAGTATTTGGTGACGTGCTGGCAGTCTAGCGCTACCTGCTCCCTGCCGCGGAGGCACACCGGTCTGAGCTCTCTGTTCAGCGCCGGCGGCGGGTGAGGCTCCTGGCCTGATGGGAGGCAACTGCCGTGGTTGCTGATTCTCCGCGTCTCCAGGTTCCCTAAGCCGGTTCGGGCAGGCCAGTGGGGCCCTGGGCGGCCCGAACTCAGCGGACCCTCGAGAGCCTGCGGGAAGCCGGTGTTCAGCCTAGCAGTGCAGGCTGGCAGACTCGGACGTGGCTGTGGGGCACGGGGGCGTACCCCACCCGGTTGGCTGACAGAACCCCACTTCCAGGGCGGCCCCCGGTCCCAGCCCGAGAGCCCCTGGCCCCTATGCCCCCAAGAAGTCTGTTTTTCACGACTGAGGCCAAGCGTCTGCGGGGGCAAACCCAGGATTCTCCCCACCCCAACATAATTTGAGCCACTTAGTTGCCGAGAGGCTCCCTAAATCCCAAACTCCGACTTCACCTTGGTCTTCCAAGGACGAAGACCCGCCCCACCGCACTGCTGGAGCCCACGCCACGCCCCCAGGCTCCGGCAACGCCCACGGGCAATGCGCAGGCGCAGAGCTCAGCAAAGCACGGTGCGGCGCGCCCAGCATGGACTGCGCCGGCGCTAAACAGTCGTCGTTCCAACCGCCCTTCCACGTCTGCCAATCAGAGTACACGCTGGCCCTCGGTTCCCGCCTACTGGCCCGGCAGCCAATCGCCTGCCCCGGCGCCCACGGCGACGAATTCAAAGCTCACTGAGGGCTGAAGACGGAAGAACTAAAGCTGGCCGCCAGCGAGATGGAGGTGGCGGAGGCCGGGGTGCGGGGCCCCGCGTTGGAGTAAGCGTGTGCTGCCGGGTAGCCGTCGGGGGCCGGCTGGGAGGACCTTGCAGGGCCCCGCGTACCGCCGGGGGTCCCTGGACCTCTCCGCGGGGCGTACAGGCACCACCCCTGTCCCCGCACGCACCCCGGCTGGGTCCAGGGGGTCGCTCCGTCCCTGAGGACCCTGCGTCCCTTCACTGTCCAGGCACCAAATGCCTGGGAGGGTCACTTAATTTCGGTCTGGCGTGTGTCAGCTCGCACTCCCCGGGGGACTGTTCTACCCGCCCTCCCGCCTGCTGCTGGGGGGACTCGCAGAGTTTAGACCACGTACCCAGCTCACTGAGTCCCCTCCCGAGGTGTCCCCTGCCTGCGACCTATTCCCCACCCCCCACGCTGCCCATCGGAGTGCTGCCTATTTCCTTCCCTGTCCCATATTCCTTGCTGACCTTTCCACCTTTCCACCAGTGTTTCCTCTCCTTGAGACCCTGCCTAAGATCGCAGCCACTTCTCCTGACTCCCCCTGCTCTGCTTATTTTTACTCTCCCTCCCGCCCCCAGACAACCCTGCAAGCCTTCCTGTAGATTCTGGTCAGGGCATGACCCAGCGTGGATGCACATCTGCGAATTCGTCTATGCACACAGGTCGTCCAGGACTAGCGCCCAAGAGTGTGCAGTTTTCCCCGTTTTTTTGCCCCTGCAGGGCCCTGGCCAAGCTGGCAAGTGTCCTGGAGCCTACAGGCCTACAAGAGGAGGCAGAGCTGCCGGCCCAGCTCCTGGCAGAGTTTGTGATGGTACGTGCAAGCATGGGAGCTGGGGGAGCCCCGGGGTCCCCTCATGGAGGCAATGGCAGACGTCCCCAACTCTGCCCTCTCTCTCAACAGGACTCCCGGAAGAAAGACAAGCTGCTATGCAGCCAGCTGCAGGTGGTGGACTTCCTGCAGAACTTCTTGGCTCAGGAGGACACTTCCCATGGAGGAGAGCTCTTGGCTTCTGAAGACACCAGCCGTGAGCAGGAAGGGGGTTAGGGTGGAGGTCAGGTCAGCTCTTTGGCTGATGGAAGGACTGAGGCCCCAGGTGGCAGGCACACAGGCCAGTCTCATCTGTGTTCTCTCCTCGGTGGCTCCTTTCAGGGCAGAAGGCAATTGCAGCCAAGGAGCAGTGGAAAGAGCTGAAGGCCACCTACCAGGAGCACGTGGAGGCCATCACCAGGGTCCTGAGTCAGGCCTTGCCCAAGATGGAGGAGGCCCAGAGGAAGCGGGCACAGCTCCAGGAGGCCCTTGAACAGCTCCAGGCCAAGGTGCAGCCAGGAGCAGAAGGGCAGGCATGCTGAGTTGGACCCCCTGGCCACCTTCCAAGTCCCACCAGAGAAACACTTTGTTCCCCTCCTTTGCAGAAGCAGGTGGCCATGGAGAAGCTGAGGACAGCCCAGGAGCAGTGGCAGCTGTGCCAGGTGGGTCCAGGCCCCTGGGGGAGTGTCCTTTCCCCACCCCCAGACGGCAGGGTCCAAGTGCTCTGTCCTAAGAACCTCCATTCCCTTCTCTGTAAGGCCTTACCGCTGGGCACCAGCAGGGAGGTATATTGCAGCCTCACCACTAACAGTGTTAAGACCTTGGCCTTCTCCTGACTTCCTGTGCTCTGTTTCTTCGTTTGTGCGATGGAGGCAATATGAGCACCTACTCTATAAAGTCAGGTGGATGACGTCATCAGTATAGCAAGTACTTACAACAATACTTGGCACATCCGAGACTAATGTTCATTTTTGTGCCTCTTTCCTCCCAACGCTCCGCCCTGAAATAGTTCATTCTGACCCCTAGTCCTCTCTAGATTCTTGATTCCCCTAAAATGAGTATAGTTCCTCTTTCCCTCTGTGGGTCTGCGCCCCACATTGGGTCTAGGCTGGGGTTTAAGAGTGCGCTGCAGGACCTTGGCACCTGCTGAGCGCTTACTCTCTTGTTCTGGTAGGAGAAGCGACTCCAGCAGCTGGCGGATGCTTCTGCGGAAGCGAGGCTGCGGCAGACGGGAGCCCAGCAGGAACTGCAGCGGCTGCATCAGGAGCTTGGAGCCCTACGGCAGCAGGCCGGGCAGGAGCTGCAGAGGCTGCAGAGGTGAGGCTGGAGAGTGGGCTTCACACCCCCCAGTGGTTCGGTTTCCTGCCTCACAAGCCGCCTCTTCCCTGCAGGCACCAGACCTTCCTCCAACTGCTGCACACTCTGCAAGGTCAGCTGCCGTTTCCTGAGGTGGAGGCAGACCCCCCACGAAAGCCGTATCTTGCTGAGGATGAGCCCCAACAGAAGAACACCGGGGTTGCCATGGGGAGAGACGGGGCTGTGCCTTCCAAAGTGAGCCAGATGGGCCGGGGGCAGGGAGATGGGTAAAGGAGTTGGGAGAGGGGCCTGACCCACCCACTAACCACACCGTGTGTCCCCAAGGCTGATGACCCGCTGCCTGCTGCTGATGTGGGTTCGCTGTGGCTTCCTGAGGGGCAGCGCCCTGGGAAAGGAAGCTAGAGCCGGTCAGCATCCCTGGACTGCAGGTATGGGATGGGGTAGGGTGGAGGGGGGTCAGTCCACCTACCTGTGAGGCTGAGCTGTTTTCCCATGAGGGATGGGAGGTGGGAAGGAGCAGGGATTCGTCTTGTGACACCTTGTCCCGCGCCCAGTCTGCCCTGGGCGAACCCCTGTCTGTCTGCCCTACCCCCTGTTGCAGTGTGCGCCGGGGCTCCTGCCGGGACCTGGGTGGGGCAGGCTTTCGAGCCCTGGGGCCCTGTCTGTTCCCTGTTTTGTGTCCATCGTCACTTGCCTGCGGGCAGAGCCACAGGTGAAGGCAAGCAGTATGGCAGGTGTGGATAAGAGGGAGCAGTCAGGAGGGGCCTGACCTCCAGCCCGGATGCCGCGTGTCCAAATCCATGGGAATCAAGCTTACCAAACGCATTCTTTCAAGGAGGTGGATGCCTCTTGCAGGTGGTTGGATGTGGGGTGGTGCCAGAAATAGTGATGGTGTCCCTGCAGGGGCTGGCCCCTTGCTGTGAGCTCTCTGGCAGCCTCTGTCTTCCCAGGCCAGGCACACACCGGAGCCAGCAGGTCAGTACCTGACTGCAGAGTGTGGTCCAACGGGGAATAACCGGGGTAAAGAGCAGAGTGAGAGCAGGGAGAAGCCGTCTGCCGGCTTGAGCTCCTATTTCCGCTCGCATTTGCGTTCGTGTCTGTGTGCACTCTTTCTGTTCCCCTGTGTGTGAGGCTGGTGTGGGCACACCGGGGGACACAGCTGTGTTGGGGACAGCACGTCCCTGTTGGGAGTGTGTCTGAGAGACATCAGTGACCTCCCCAGTATGAGGACAGGGCTGGGCAGACGAACACCTGAACTTCTGGGAAGCAGATTTCCCTCGGGAATGTGGGCTGAGTTGTGGACTGTGTCAGTGCGCATGTGAGGCTGAGGTTCATTCATTTTCAACTATTTAAAGATTCAGAATTGCCTTTTGTGATCGGCTCTTGCTTGTGTCTGTTCTGGTTCTTGGGTCCCTAGTCCTGGCTTGGCCATTTCCTACCTTTTGATTTTAGGTGGAGAAGATGTACTTGTTTTGTGAACTTTTAATTTTTATGAGATGATAAACTTGTATATTTGGTTCTTTTGTTTTCTCAACTAAAATGTAAGGTTACACATTACTTGTAGTTTTCTCTAAATATGTTCACAGTCATTCAGTTCATAGAATTTTCTGTTTCCCATTATAATTATTTGATTCATGAGTTTCTTAGAAAAGTGATTTTGTGGTTTTCTCCTCTGGGTGGGAGGGTAATCTTTCTCTGTTGATTCCAATGTGGCCAGAGAATGTCATCTATATAGTAAATCTTTGGAACTTGCTGAGGGATGCAGTTAGAGCCAGGAATGTGGTCTCTTGTTTTGTTTTTTCTGTTTTTGTGCTTCACATGGATTTGACAGGATGTCTGTTTTGGAATTGTCCCCTGTGGCGGTTTCTGCATGTCTGTCACATTATGCTTGTTATTTTTTCTGGGTTTGTCTTCTGATAACTAATTTTTTGTTTTCTGAATGTCACCTCCTGACAGGTGTGTTCAGGTCTCTGAGTATGATCTCCTCATAGTTCTGGTGGATTTTGCTTACCATGCCCTGTGGCTAGTGAGTTTACTGTGCTAGGGCACAGTTTACACGTGCGTCTTGCCTCTAAGATGGGCTGTACGACCCTGTAGCAGCCTTGTCACTGGGCGAGTGTCCCTCAGCCTTGCACTCTGCCTGCGTCCGTACCAAGAAAATGCAGCTCCCTGTTTACCTTTTCCTCGTCGGTCTCTCCTACAGCCTTGTGAGGTTTAACCTTTTTTATCCTTGTGGTTTTTTGTTTTTTTTTTTTTTCGAGAGAGAGCACGAGAGAGAGAGAGAGAGAGAGAGAGAGCAAGTGAGCGAGCACGATTGCTTGGGAGGGTCAGAGAAAGGAACTGCAGGGGAGAGGCAGAGAGAGAGCGAGAATCCCAAGCAGTCTCCGAGCTGTCAGCACAGAGCCTAATTTGGGGCCTTGTCTCATGAACTGTGAGATCATGACCTGAGCCAAAATCAAGAGTTGGACGCTCAATCAACTGAGCCACCCAGGTGCCCCTCTTTATGTTTATCACTTTTATACCACATTAAAGCATGAGTTTTTCAAAGCTAGTTTAATAATTTTTCAGCCTCTGGTTTTTATTGTTTTAACATTTTTTTCTCATTCCTTTTTGTTTTTTCTTCTGAAGTTCGTCCCTGGTTGTTACCCCGATTTAGCTTTCTTAGCTAATAACGTCTAAAGTTAAGTGTAAAAAGTCTTCATCTTGAACAAGTAAGGAAGCCTAGACTTCACCACTGATGGGTCAGCACACGCTTACCTAGTAAGATGTTTCTGTGCAGTTCATTACTTCAGCCTGTTCTCTCCTTGCAAAGCCGACTCACTCTTGTCTACACAGTCTGGTCATGTTTACTCATTCACTTTGCTTTTCTCCCTGCTTGATTTTACATGTCAGAGCTTTCACATGGGGTGATTTCCCATCTGAAATACTTGTGTCGGACTTTCTTTTAGTTACGGGGTCGGTAGGCTATGCAACTCTTCACTTTCTTACTATGAAATGCTTTTATTCTGCTCTCATTCTGAAAAGAGGTTTTCATTGTGTGGAGAATGCTTAGACTAGTGCTTTCATTTAGAACATGACTACTTGCCTTTGCTGGCTGCCAGCAGTGCTTCCTATACTCCTGGGTCGTCTGTCCACTCATTCACTCTGCTTGCAGCTCGTTGGGCTTCCAAAATCTGAAGTTGCTGGTCTTTCAACAGTTCAGTAGTATGTTCAACGTATACCCTTCTATATAAGCTCCTTCCACACCAGGTACACATCACTTAGATTTTCTAACTTTGTTCTTCATGTTATATAAACTTTCGTACCTATGTATAATTATTTTTTCTCTCTAGAATGCATTTAGTTTGTTTAAATCTATTTTGTTAACTGTATGTTACTAACCTATTGGATAATCATTCATTTCTTAATTTTTATCATTAATTTTTAAGCAGATCTATTAGACCCCAGTCTACATTATTTGGATTTTTTGTTGTTATTCTGGCCTACAGTTTGAGCTGATCCTTTATGACCCTAATAGAACATGTACTGGTCTTCTGTCCCCTGTGTTGGAAGGGATCATAATTTCCATCTTTGCTGGCCTGCCTGGATCCTTACCTTCATCATCTGCTCCTTGTTCTTTGTGTAGTTTGACTAGGAAATGTCCATTTTTACTGAACTTCATTGTTGCAAATACTTTGTGGCTGGTTATAGAGTTGAGAGGGTTTGTGTTTTCTGTCAGTCGCTGGTGGACACCTTAATGTTCTTTGTATCTCCTATTTCTCATTCTTGCTGGTTGAAGGTTTTCTCTCTTTTTCATTCCTATTTCTCGAAGACTTTTTTTTTTATTTTCTCTTTCAAAAGCACAAGCTTTTGGTGTTAATACTGCTTTAATGTTCTTTCATTATCCTCCTTTCCAAGGTTCCATCCTACAATTCTTTATTGAATTCTATTTTTATGTGACTATTTCCTCCAGGAAGATATTCTGGTTAACACTTGGATGGTTTCAGCAAAGTTAATCTCTTTCATTCTATCTTTACAATTTTATAATTTGTAAAACCAAGATTTCACTTTGAATATTCTACCCTACAGTGAAAAGAAAGCTATTTTAAAATAAAAGAATATAAAATATGATATGTGTTATATAATAACAAATTATATAATAATTAAAGAAAGCTATTCTGGCCATTCTACAGTCTTTCTGTGGTTAATAGACCCCATTCCTATCTTACAGAATTTATGCAAGTTAAATTATTTTTTTAATTTTTTTTTTGAGAGAGACTGAGCATAAGTGGGGGAGGGGCAGAGAGAGAGTAGGAGACACAGGATTCCAAGGAGCTTCTGAGCTCTGTCAGCACAGAGCTCAATGCAAGGCTGGAACTTGGGACCGGCAAGATCATGACCTAGGCTGAAGACAGACCTAGGCTCAGCTGACTGAGCCACGCAGGCGCCCCTCTGCAGCTTTTTGTATTATAATTTTTATGTGTCCTCTTTGAGGCAATTATGCATAACTTTTAAAATACAGAGGGTAAGGGGTGCTGGGTGGCTCAGTCAGTTGAGCCACCAACTTGGGCTCAGGTCACGGTCTCACAGTTTGTGAGTTTGAGTCCCACATGAGGCTCTGTACTGATAGCTCAGCCTGGAACCTACTTGTGATCCTGTGTCTCCCTCCCTCTCTCTGCCCCTCCTCAGCTCATGCTCTGTCTCTGTTTCTGTCTCTTAGAAATCAACGTCTTTTAGTTTGGTTTCAGGACTTATTAAACAGTTTTTTGAAGGTGTGTACATTCTTTTATTTATGTTAAATTGAATTTATATAACTGTTGACAGTTAGAAAAACACCTTGTCAATCTTCACAGAGCTCTGCAGTATGCCAGATTATGTTGGGTGCCTGTTCCGTGTGCTTGTGATTTCTAAACTGTCAGACGGACTCCCGCAGACACACCTATGAGAGGCACAGATGATTCAGTTCATTGTGCATTTCTTTTTTTAATGTTTTATTTATTTTTGAGAGAGAGATAGAGACAGCATGAGCATGGGAGGGTCAGAGAGAGAGGGAGACATAGAATCTGAAGACCTGCTCCAGGCTCTGACCTAGCTTTCGGCACAGAGCCTGACAAGGGGCTCGAACCCACAAACCGTGAGATCATGACCTGAATTGAAGTCGGACGCTTAACCAATGAATCACCCAGGTGCCCCCATCGTGTATTTCTTTGTATTTACACTCTAGTGAAGGAGCTGATGGTTTCTTAAATGGATTGGTTACTGTACGCCTAAAATAGCATTTTGAAATAGAAAAAAGGAGTAAGTCCAGAACTATGCTTTCAGAATAACAAGAATGTTGGCAATAGGAGATTATCGCATACAAACATTATATAAGAACTAAACCACGGGCGCCTGGGTGGCTCGGTTAAGCATCTCACTTCAGCTCAGGTCATGATCAGTTCACAAGATC